ATGAACTAATAGAATATTAGTATATTACGCTATAATACCCCAAATTTATTGTCTCCATAAAACAAACAAAGCAGGAATGCCAATGCGCCCCACTCTTTCAGGCATTCCGCAGGTGCTCCCCACAATATGGTGAAACACACACACACACACACACACACACACACACACACACACACACACACACACACGCACGCGCACACACACACACACACACACACACACATATATATATATATATATATATATATTATAAAGATATTATATACTGGCAAACAAGAACTCATGACAAAGTTGCATTTTTTTTGTTGCAATACGAATGCTTCTCGACAGGTGAGCTTTGGCATCGAAACAAAAATGGGTCTTTATCGTAAGTACTTGTTTGTCCGTACGTAGCATCTTTATAATAGATGATTATTGATCTACTCTTGTTATTGAACCTTCAATTAAATTAATGCTATGAACATTTGAATTTATATTCTTTTCGTTCTCGTTACATTTTAATATATATATATATATATATATATATATATATATATATATATATATATATATATATATATATATATATATATATATATATATATATATATATTGAGCACTTAATCCCATAAATATAGCACACCTTAAACTATATTTCTTTTGTGTGTGTATATATATATATATATATATATATATATATATATATATATATATATATGTGTGTGTGTGTTTATGTATATATATATATATATATATATAGCTTTTTTGCGGATCGGTTTCAATATTTTATATTATTAGGAACCACTTGGATTATATACCAACGTATTTGTTACACATTACTCTCTCTCTCTCTCTCTCTCTCTATATATATATATATATATATATATATATATATATATATATATATATAGGTTAGGGTTGGGCAGAAAGTCCTGACTCACTTAGGGAGAGTCAATCGTTAACCTTTATAATGTGCACTTGTTTCCTCCTCGTACGACCAAACAAGAAACTCTTCTTTGTGTAACTCCTGAGTCAGCATCGTTAGTTGAAACTTTATAGAAACTTCATCGGAATTTATACAGATTTATTTCTATCGGTTTTCATATAGTAAACAATCCCTATTTAAATACACTTTTCCACTCAAAAAAAATAGAGAAAATTTTTTTTTTTTGCAAATATTTATTGTACATTAGCATTCTTTAGACCTTAAGACTCGACAGTTGACAGAATGATAAAATATTGATTTTTGTTATCGGTTTCACTACTTTCAAAAATATATTTCGCTAAAAACAGAAAAAAAAATAACAAATATTTTTCTCAGATTTAAATTTATGAACAGAGTTGAAAATACTTTTAACCATTTTAGGTCGTGCTGTTTACTTCCAAATCAACTCTGTCAGAAAGTTTTACCATCTAGCGAAGCGTCATGTAAAGATGAAAGGAGAAAACAGATACGGTCCACTGCAAAGTTTTGCGGAATGACAGTGAAACCTAAAACTGCAATTCCAATCTTTTCATTGACTTCCTGAACGTAATATTCTGTTTATTTTAGTCCGACTATCAAATTAAATGACTGCACTTGTAAGGATGTGCGGATAGTGTAGCGGATATCGGCACGAGATGCGGTATTACCGAAGCCAAGAACAAATTCTGGATTACTCTGTTGCATTTTCTTTCCCACAAATGTCCTTCGGAAAGGTGGGGATTCTTTTCTTCTTGTTTGAAATAGGGGTTAAATATCAGGCTTGACTGCCTTCGGCAATCTCCGGTGACTACTAGGCCATGAGAAGGAACACACTGAGAATCAAAATTTGAAGAAAAAGTAACAAGAAAGCACTCGACTCTATTTCACATGAAATCGTATTAATTCACAAGTAATGACGAAAAGAATGCCGTGGAGGGCTATGATCACCTTCATCCTGAAGAGTTATAGGATTTTTTAAAAACGCTTTAAAATAACTTACACTATTGAAAACCACCATTCAGTAATAAAAAATCAACATTTCAAATATAATTGCAAGTATTCTTCTGTCATTGTGGGATAGGAAGCCCATCTTGCAGACTAATTTGATTCGGAGCGCCACATTGATTCTCTAAGTGTGTAGAATGTGTGGGGGATATAAACCTGCCCTTTCACAAAGTGCTATAGAAAAATCACATGGTGTCAAGTCGGGTGAATTTGGTCACCATTTCAACAGCAGATTGTCATTATCACTGTCACGCCCGATTCATCTTCCTGGTAAATTCTCATTGAGGTTAAGTCCGCATTGAGGCGCTGAAGAATGCTATGCCAAACATGCCATAGCGTGTTTGGCATGAGCTGGACTATAAGCTTGAGGTGTGTAATGTCTCAAGTGATGGGAATATTGAACATTTTGAGATGATTTGTGAAATCTGTTATAATATCTATATCCTTTCCCATCTTGTTCGAATTTTGATGAATAAGTTTTTTATTGCTCAGTATGAAGCCTATTTAATTTAGTTTATCTGGGACGTGTAGTTATTCAGATATTCACATTTCAAATGATGTCTATTTTTGGATTGACACCATATACGTGTCTTTTTTACAAAACAAATGAAGCGAAATATAAATGTCGTTGGGTGTTGAAATTTTTTTTAGATATATCATGATTACAGCAGATTCTCATCCTATAAAATTTGTAGAATCCCAGTATTTTTCATCATAGAAAGGGCTTCAGCCGATCATTACGTTTTCGTCGTTATCGGACGCACGGGAGATTATTTATTTTCGATGCTTGAAAATCAGACTCCCATGTGGTGTCTCATGTGGCTGCGAAGTGAAATGCATGAGACGCAGACATTGCCTCAGATGTTGCGTGTTCGCTGTTACATTTCCAGTGTTTCTATTTCCCCTTGATTGTCTTATGGGACATTGTGATGATCAAATGTATGCCTCTGTGGCATATGCAGTCAGGATTTATATATAAATGAAAAATCACGTTCAAGTTAATTTTTATATGCATAATAAAATATGACGCGTACACAGACAGTTTATTATCAATATTTTAATAAGGACAGATCTTGTCATTTAAAACAAGCACGGTACATTTTTACAGCCATTATAAATAATTCTAAGAAATCTGATAGCATAAGCTAAACATCACGTGGTATGTTTATCATATAAATATATTATGAATATTTTATTAACATTGGTCGGCTAACAGTTTTATTATTGCTAAAACATTGACGTAAATATCAAATATGAAAGTGTATATATTCAATACTCTTCCTAATTCTTTTAGAACATTTATTTCCCCAAAGTTATAGGTGAAAAAACAGGGCAGACCGAACACTCATGCCTTGAGGGGGCCTGTTTTGCGACAGCTCTATTATCAGTTCTTTCAAACAATGAGGTGCTGTCTACACAAGCCTTCAACCCTAGCATCAACTAATAAATGCCACCTAACAGTAAACCATAATTGTAGGACCCTTTTCCGTCGAAATCGTCGAGGGCATTGTTTGATCACATGAATAAACATGGAACGAGTCATCGTGTATCTAAACTAGGTACCTCCATTAATTTGGAATACGTAAGGTTTCAAATGAATTTTGAAAAATGAACACGCTTGAAGCTTTCATTTTAGATTTAATTGAGAGCTAGTGAAATTAGAATTTACTATTCGAAATAAGCAAAATATTCTGTTGTGTATTTAAAACAGAGATCATATTGATCGGAACCGATAAAAGTAGCCATTTTGACACATTTGTAAACAAAAGTCAATTCTCAGTTTTAAAAATCTTGGAAAAAATAAAATATTTTTCTGAAATGTTATTTGAGGAAAATAGCATATTTAATGTAAAATTATTTTGATTTGAAATAAATATTACTTACGTATAGCATAAAATGTTGTATAGAAGCATTTCTTAACTATGGGGACTTGTTTTTTCTGATGACTTGATCGATTTATCGGCAGCCTAACGTGTTATCAAGTTAAGTATGCTTATGCAGAAAAGATGTTAGTAGACGATAAATTTTATACGAGAGTTTTTTTTCGTAAGCGGGGGGGGAGGGGCAATCCTTAAAACACGTGACTTTGTGATGACAATGTCATGTACAAAGAAAATTTAGGACGTTTAAACAAAAGAAATAGAAATTATTTCTAAAAAATATTTGTGATCGTCATATTGTAATAAGTTTTGCAATATATGATTAGTAAATAAAATTTTACTTGATAAGTTGAATTGCCTAGATTTTCATAAAATTAAGTAAGGGGGTGAAACACACGTCAAAAATATTTTACTAACATTTTCTGATAAAACGTTTAATTCATTTGTGAATAAGTTCTAAAAATTACATTAAAATCCGACGATTATTAAGTTAATGTGTCTGACACCGTAACAACGAGAATAAAATGTACTATGCTAAATGATAGTATATACGTTGATGCAATAAAAACAAGTTTCATCACGGTATGCTGATTCTTTAACGTTTTCGAGGAGGTACCTAATCTAAACTTTTTCCAAGAAGAACATCGCCAGCCGACAGAAAGATTTCAGTCAGTTTTTACGCTCAACGGAAGTAAATAACAAAGAGACTTTTCCAAAATACAATCTGCCGGTGCCAAGACTTTCAGCATATTTACATCAACATCATCATCATCATCATGGTCTTATTGTTCACATCTGAAGCTCGTCTGATTGCTGGCCCATGTACGTCGAAATGTTGATACTCGAATTAACAATTTGTCGAAATTCCGGCACGGGTTTCGAACTGATGAATTGCCAATAAAAATTTTGCCCTCACAAAATTTTACGTATTCCATCAGGATCTGACTGTCATTGTGAACAATCATTCCCTTTTTTTATATGTGGGTATATACTTTCATTTATTTTTTTAATCAATACACCCCAAGAAAGGCAATAACGTCAGTGAGACACAGAGGGAAACTGGGAGTGAAAGAGAATGAGAAGACGTTCGAAGAAACCGGAAACACAAACCTAAACAGGAAATAAGTGATAAATATCTACTGTTAAAAAGAGACGAAAGTAGTTTGAACCGGATGCTAGCCAAACCTACCTACCTACCTATCTATCTATCTATCTATCTATCTATCTATGAGTGCGTGTATTTTCATCTATACATATGTGGATCT